ATAGATATCTATGTATATAGATATATAGATATAATTTTTTTTTTGGCAGACATGAAAACTTTGTCTTTAACATCGCATTAACATTCTATCTATCTATCTATCTATCTATCTATCTATCCATCCTTATATGATTCCCACCACACTTCAATTTTTTCTGTTTTATATGACTTTTAAAGTGCCCCTATTATGGATTTTTCAAAATGACCTTTCATGCAGTGACCTTAACACAGCTCTAAGTGAATGAAAACATCCTGCAAAGTTTTAAATCTGAGAAAGTGCACCGTGTATAAAGTTATTGTCTCTCAAAAGAAAGAGTCGACTCTGAATCATTGAAACGAGTCGTTTTTAAAACGAATCACAAGCCGTTTCATGTTGACGTCAACATGAAGCATTAGCATATTGCCCGCCCACTTGTTGCGAGCGCAGACCCAGGAAAACTTGGTCTGAATGAAAATGCTAATTCATTCTTTGCCACTAGGTGCTGCTTTTGGAGCGGTAAAAATAGCTGTTTCCCCGGTAACGGCTGTACACAAAGCAGCACTGCGCTCACAAACATTGCTTTATCAGGCATGATGAAATGGAAATCGACCAATCGGACCAATCACCGCAGATTAGCGTCACACAAAGTAGGGGTTTGGAAAAATGAATAGTTGAGCAAATCGTTTGGGAGTCAAGTAAGGTAAAAAATAAGTGCATATTATAAGACAATTAAAGTGTTTTTTGACCTTGCACGCATGTCAACCTGTTGTTGGGGACTCCCAAAACCAACATATGAACCTTTCATAACCCATAATAGGGGCACTTTAAAAGTTTGGAGACAGAGAGTTTTTGATTATTTTGTTTTTGAAATTTCTTATGCTCACCAAGGCTTCGTATATTTGATAAAAAAAAAATAGTAGCTACAACTATAATATTGTGAAATCTTATTACAATTTAAAATGACTGTTTTCTATTTTTAAATTTTTTTAAATGTCATTTATTCCTGATAGCAAAGCTGAATTTTCAACAGCCATTACTGCAGTCTTCAGTGTCACATGATTCTGACCAATCGGACCAATCACCGCAGATTAGCGTAACGCAAAGGAGGAGTTTGGAAAAATGAATCGTTGCGTGAATCGTTTGGGAGTCGTTGAGCAAGTAAGGTAAAAATAAATGCATATTATAAGACAATGAAAGTGTTTTTTTGACGTTGCATGCATGTCAACCTGTTGTTGGGGACTCCCAAAACCAACATATGAACCTTTCATAACCCATAATAGGGGCACTTTAAAAGTTTGGAGACAGAGAGTTTTTGATTATTTTGTTTTTGAAATTTCTTATGCTCACCAAGGCTTCGTATATTTGATTAAAAAAAAATAGTAGCTACAACTATAATATTGTGAAATCTTATTACAATTTAAAATGAATGTTTTCTATTTTTAAATTTTTTTAAATGTCATTTATTCCTGATAGCAAAGCTGAATTTTCAACAGCCATTACTGCAGTCTTCAGTGTCACATGATTCTTCAGAAATCATTCTAATATGCTGATTTGGTTAGATGATAGATAGATTAATTTAATATCCAATAATGTGTGTTGTAATTGAGAATTACCTGTTACTAATATTTACTAAGTAGCATTTACCTAAGAAATGCTGTTCTTGGCCTAGTCTTGACTATAAGGTATGCATGAGAGGGAGGAAATATGACATGGCACTTTCAGCACTTTCTTTTATGTCAGGCAGACCACAGACCACCCCCAGAGTGCCAGTCTTGACATTTCATCTTGTGGCAGCGGCTGTGTATCCGGTGCCAACTCAGTGGGCACCTGTAACTGTCTGGCTTTGTGCTGTTTCCACCCTCGGCTCTCCTCTGACATTTAGCTTTCAATTAATGTCCATCCTCTCTGATGCGAGTCGCAGATATGAACTCTAAAAGCCCTCAGTACGTACTGAAAGATCAAGCATTCGTGGCGCCCACAGGACTATTCATTATCCAGGCACAGTAATGATCTCTAATAATACTCCGTCTTCATTACATTCCAAAGACCCGAGAATTTAATTAAACATTTCTAATAAGAGCTATCATTTTACATTAGCTCCAGTTACAATACAGTAAATGACTGTAAAGCTCCATATCTGATCTCTTACACGTATTGTTTTTCATAAATGAAGAGAAACGCTTACTCGTTTTGGCTATGTATAACTGCGTGCCGCATGATTTAATCTTAAGAAATCGTAACCAAATTATCGGCAGGAAGTGAGCGCATTAAAGGGTTCTCCTGTGCTGTCTGTGGTTTAATGAGAGTTGACAGGACTCATTAGACTAACAAGACTAAGGCCAAAGGTCTTTCATGTCACCGAATGAAAGCAAATACACCTCCATAGGAACAGAGGAGATCAGTAGATGTCCCATAGATAATATTTTATTAATAAATGGTAATTAATCTCAGATCACCTGAGCCAGCTATCTTAAATGCATATGCAGTTTATCGCTCTCCTTCATTTCAACAGCGAACACTTTGGGTCCATTAACACTGCATGAGCATTTCAGCATGTTATGTCAATCTTATTAGCATCTGCAAACAATCAAACTGATCCATTGATGTTCACATGACGTCACGATACTCACTAGCAAAGATCTGGAAGGCTCCAGTGAGGAAGAAGCGTCCGCCCTTCTGGAGAGTAAAGAGCTGGCAGAAGAACAGGAAGAGAGACAGGAAGCTGAAGATGATTGACAGGATCATGAGAGCTTGGACTGCCTGGATCCAAACTGAAAAACAGAAAGCATTTCAAAACATTAGTGCATTTCCTTACTCCTGAAACCACTTAGGGCAGTTTGAGCTTTGCAGAAATAAAAACCTGCTCTTGGGACGGAGACTGTCATTTTTAAATGATCACGAATGGACATTAAGCAGGTCATTATTTCTTTTCTCATCTGCTATTCTCGATCGATCACAACAGACGTACCGGTTGTACTTTTACACTGGCGTGCAATTGGAGATGTGCACTTAGATACATCTATGTATTATTGATAATGACAGAGGTAGTCTGCAAAAAAACAAAACACCAAATATTGCTTCATAATGAACTCTTGTTGTTGCATTTAACATTTTGATGGCTGTTTCATGGATATAAATAGCACGGGAGAATCCAGGAACTCTTAATGCATTGTGCAATCACATAATGCTTTTTCTGTTCCTAAAAGCTCTTAGCAGGTTACCAGCACCTGATATTGATCCTCTCTTGACATACCAGGACCATAATACGGCAACTTACAAGGAGCTCCATTAACTCTATATTACCTGCATTTGATGGCTTTAAAAGCCCCCCCGTGTGTCATTTTTATCCTGCCATTAGTGCCATTCCAGCCTCTTCCATGCATGTGTGGACAGGAAAGTAAATGTTTGCATTAGGACTTTCCTGTATAATAGGAAACATTTCACTTGCTTTGCACATACATTGCTGATCACAATATTTTAATCATCTTAGGTCTCTTGCTCTCACCAGGCTGCACTTTTTTTAATTAAAAATATAGTAAAAACAATACCATTTTGAAATATTTTTTAGAACATTTCTATTTTAATAAACAATAGAAAAACCGAAAGCTCAAAAGTACAGCACTTATTTGAAATAAAAAGTATTTTTTTGTGTATATTTAATTGGTTCTTGCTGAATAAAAGTAATTTCTTTCCAAAAAAAAAAACTTTTGAGTGTGAACAGATTCGCAAGACAAACGCTTTGGACAATATGTTCTTTCATCAATTGAATGTCAATAGCGTGCTGTGAGACTGGTTTGAGGGAGTTTGGGATTGATGAGGAATGTCATGGCAGATGTTTTAGTTTAATGTTTAGCGTGTATTCTGACTTTGGAATGTCCGCATTATTTACAAATTGTTCAGTGTTTCTGTTTTACCATTGTTATCCTCAATAGAGTTTTAAAGGGATACTTCACCTAAAATGCAAATTTTGTCATCAGTTACTCACTCATTTTTGTTTAAAACCTGTATGACTTCTGTCTTCTACTGAACATTAACATATTATGAACAATGTTTTAACTGTTTTTGCCCATACTAGGAAAGTCAATGGGGTCCAAAACTTTGACTTTCGTTATACATTCTTAAAAATAAAGGATCATCTATAGTTCCATGAAGAACCTTTAAAATCCATGGAAACTTTCTATTGCACAAAAGGTTCTTTAGATTAATAAAATGCTCTTTACTTTTAGAAACACCAAGTTATTTTAAGAACTGTTTGCTAAAAGGTTCTTTTGGGAACCCAAAATGGTTCTCCAATGGCATCACTGTGAAAACCCTCTTTTGGAACCTTTAGTTTTAAGAGAGTATGAACACGAAAGCAGACATTTGTCCACATAAGTTCCTTGTTTGTTTCCACATAAGAAAGTCATAAAGAAATGACGACAATGAATACAGGCCCATTCACACCAAGAACGATAACTATAAAGATAAATATAACAATAACTATATTAATGGCCACACAAATAAACCTCTGTTATGCTCTCTGCCCCTTTAAATGCTCGAGTTCTTTAAAGCAGGATAAATTCTGATTGACAATCAATGCTTTCATCGTTCATCCGCTGGAAAAAATAGTACTTGTGAAATGTGAAAGGGATAGTTCACCAAATTCTGTCATTATTCAACTTTAAGGAAGCATCTTGCTGTTCTTCTAAATCATTCAGTAAAATGTGTCTAGGGAGAAGCGTGAGCATGAACATGTCATAGCTTTCTTTCTATCTCAGTCTCTACCTTTCATGCCCAAGCAGTAATACATGGAATGCATGGGTTGTCCAGCATGTCTATTTCTTATCCAAGGGTCATTCCTGTAGAATCAGGTTTCCACCTCTCTCTCTCTTTCCTCTCATGTTCAGCTGTGTCTGCCGCTCCCCTTATAGCCACTAGAACTGTCAAACCCCAAAATCAGATCGGCCTACTACAGATTAAAACAAAATCAGAGCCACTACTCCAGCTTTCAACACAAACCAGATCCTCTATTAAAGCCAGTTTACAATATTACATTGCTTGCTTCCAAGAAACATTTAACAGAATAGAAACATTTGATCAGGTCCTAGAATAAATCTGGACTCTCAAGATCATAAACAAATCAACTATTTTGCACTTTTGTGGGGAAGAATTGGCAATACGAATGATCCAAAGTTTAGGCAATGATCTCATTAACAGCAAAATCGTAAAGCTCAGGCACACATGGATAACCCTAAAAGGACAAGAAAAGCCCAGAAACGGTTTGTGCTTGTAACAATCTCAGAATGGAAACAACTATGGAAATGGCATTTGTTTTTCTCCGAACATCTCATCAGAGACCATGTGAGGAGACTATTCTAGTATGCATCCATAAATAGGTTCTTCTGCTATCTGTGTTTTGCACCCACACAATACAAACGATACAATACATCTCTCTCAACAATGAAGTAAAAATAGAAGCACATCCCCTCATACAGTCTATTTACTCACAGTTACTAAGTTTATCTTCTCTCACAGAGTTGTGACATTTGGAGTGTCCTGATATAAGGTGCGGCTGTAGTCATTTTGAGCTTGACAACACCCTATGCATTTCTGTCTGCAGTCATGCATCTAAGGCAGGGATTTGTATTTCAGGACAGAAGGTTTCGTTTTGGAAAGCGGGGGCCGTGTGTTTGCATTTAGAGGGGGTACGTATGGTCCTGGGTGTGAAGAATGTGGCTTAACAGATGATAAATATGCACCGCGAAACATAACACAGGGGTGCGAGTAGACTGCCATAACCCCAGTTTGGTCCATGAAATGGCTCTCTATAACAGGATGATGAATAGGATTTCATGCATGCTTTAGCTGCCAGTGTTGAGTAGCTTCGCAATGCCAGCTGTTCCACATCACTCCCGGTGTAAAATACACCATTCAGGTGATCTTAGGATGGCTTCGCACTTGGTTTGATTGCTTGTTTCCAACACAGGTTTGATTTAAACCTCTTGATTTGTCTTGAATAGTATACATTATACTATTAATGCTGAAGCATGGAATGTTTGCCTTTTATCCAATGTAATGAGAAGGAGAACATTTCCCCTCTTGATTCATCGCCGACATCTTTTACAGAACGCCAACTTCATTTGTGACCCTGGACCACAAAACCAGTCATAAGGGTAAATCTTTTGAATTTTGAAAGATTTATACATCATATAAATAAGCTTTCCATTGATGTATGGTTTGTTAGGATAGGAAAATATTTGGCTGAGATGCAACTATTTGAAAATCTGGAAAAATCGAAATATTGAGAAAATCTCCTTTAAAGTTGGCCAAATTAAGTTCTTAGCAATGCATATTACTAATCAAAAATTAAGTTTTGATATATTTATGGTAGGGAATTCACAAAATATCTTCATGGAACATGATCTTTACTTAATATCCTAATGATTTTTGGCATAAAAGAAACATTTGTAATTTTGACCCTTATAATGTGTTATTGGCTATTGCTACAAATATACCCCAGCGACTTATGACTGGTTTTGTGCTCCAGGGTCACATCTGGTCTGCATTATTAGAGATGTAAAGAATGCAAGCTGCTGTTAGATGGCCATTTATTGAGAAATGCATTAGACTGTGAGTGCATTAGATATCAAAGCTGTTTTTTTTTTAAATAAGACATTTAATGTAAATGTATATACTTTTGTTATTTTCTAATGCAGAAATATACACCATTTAATATTACATTTTTTAACATTAACAATTTCTACAACACACTGTAAAAACATATTGTTCATGCTGACTAATCTGTTACCTATTGTTGGCATGTACACCCTTATTGTTAACTGATACATAAAACATGTATGAATTATGAAGTTTGGGGTTAGTGAGATTTTTTTTTAATGTTTTTTTTTTAAATGTTTTTGAACAAACATAAATATTGTGAAATATTATTATAATTTAAAATATCTGTTTTATTTTAATATATTTTAAAACAGAATTTATTCCTGTGATGCAAAGCTGGATTTTTAGCAGCCATTACTCCAGTCTTCAGCATCACATGATCCAACAGAAATCATTCAATATGCTGATTCGGCCCTAAAAACATTTTTTGATTTTGAATTTCTATTATTATCAATGATGAAACTGTAGTATTGCTTGATATTTCGGTGGAAACTAATGCATTTCAGAATTTATTTTGTTGTTGTTGAACAAAGCTTGAAAAAAAAACATTTATTTGAAACAGAAATTTTCTGTAACAATTTACTGTAAAAGTCTTTACTGTTGCTATCAATTTAATTTGTTCTTACAGTAGTGTACATGAAGGTTCATGTTTTAACTGCTGTTGTTTGTGTGCAAGTTAAACATCATCTATAACAATCTAATTAAAGACCAATCTGGTCATTACATGCACCAATGAAAAGACTTTCTTCACAGCCTAAATGGCCATCAAAAATCAACTTAAGTAGTAACCGAAAAGCAGCCTTTTTCCAGCAGCGTAGCAGCGACACGTGAGCGAGCGCAGGAGAGCGGGACAGAAAAACCCTGTGTGCCAACCCCCGCACCACGCCCTAAACAAACACGCCACATTATAGGTGCTACGCCAACTGACTGAGAGCTATGAAATAACACAGCGAAGCATTCTGGTCCTGCCTCATTACCAAAGTGCACAGAGAGGCGTTTCCCGCTCTGAACTATGACATCATCTCACCCTCCAAGAACAGCCAATAGTGTAACAGTGATCTGATTGAGAATGTACATTACTTAAAAATACACTTTTTTATATTTTATGCATTAAAGAACACCATTTTTCATTATTTCTTTAATATTCTGGTATACACGTTACATGGCCACGATAACTAAAAAATGACAACATATGTGTATTTTAACAAAAACTTCAATAATAAATGTTTCTCTCTCAAACTGCCTTCATTCTTGTGTTAACAAACCTGTCGCTGGCATTTTGATTCGTGGGTGTGACTCAAATCATGCTGCGTTCGGCCTACGGCGATCTGATGCTACGCCATTACAGACAGATCAGTCTAAATCTAATCTGCTTTGAATGCTCTACCTCTGCCCCACCCCATATGTTCTCGAACCTCTTTGCAACCCAGCACTCTCCACTCCCAAACAAGGGGCCCGACTATTTATAGTTTTATAGGGCCGCCGGCAACCAGACTATTTATACAGAGCTGATGTTGAAGAGGGGTCTGTTGTGGGTTGAAACTGCACGCTTGAATCTCACCCCTAGATGGCAGTACAGAGGTGTGAGGCAGAGTTGGCACACCCACCACAAAGTGTGGTAAACAGGCAAAGGGGCTTTGACAGTTATGCCAGGATCGAGCCCTCCTGTGAAGAACGTGCTATGTGTAACATACCGAGGGTGGCTCTTTAACCCTTTACAGAGAGGCAGACATTTCCCTATCTTGAAATTAATATTATTGCACCAATTTTTTTATTTATTTTTTGTTTCATGCATGGATAAATGTGCATTCATGCATTCAATGCATTCATGCATTTTTCATGCATGGAAAAATGTAGCAGGATCTTACCTCCAGTGTCAGCAGGGTCACATCTGGACACTCCATTCAATGTAGTGCAGTTCGTCCAGAGGTCTGAACTGCTGTTGGGGTTAACAGCCCATGCCTGTTAGATTTAAGAATACTCATTAGCATGGCTTAAACGCATCCAAAATATTCTGCTTCAGCTGGTTTTAGTGCCTGATTGGGGTTTGAGTTTATAAACGACTCCAAATTGATTGAATTGTCAATTTAATATCAGAGAGACTGTAGATAGACAGACAGATAGATAGATAGAGAGAGAGAGAGAGAGAGAGAGAATCTCTAATAATCTTTATTAATAAATTAAGCTTCAGAATACTTACACTGACTATAGTTGATACGAAGAGCAGAACCAGTGCTGCCACATGCAAGACGACGATTCCCAGTAAGAGGAGCAGCATGATGTTTCCTTAAGGTTCTGTACAAACACCGAAACATCTTTTTTAATATATAAAGTAGGCTACATCAATGACCAATTATTAGTTATAATATAGCCCTTTAATATTATTTTTGCTATATGATTTAGGTTATTAATAATTATACAAAATAATTATTTAAATATTAATAAATAATATTTTTGTGTCACTGGAGTTGAATATAATATAATATAGTATCATATAATATTCAAGCGTTTTGTAACAAAAAAAAAAAACCTTAAAAGCTGATTGCCACATGGTACGTGTCTTTTAATATAAATTAGTCTTTGATTTCTTAAAACTTTCTTGATCTTCCAATAATTGCAGTTCAAAACGCAGTTAGTTGACATCATGTACACCATTTTCCACCGTCAGTTTTGGCGTGTTACAACGAAGTTGACAAGAGCATAACCAGCGTAACACATATTCTATAATAATTAGGCAACGACATGAGTGTCTCTCTATAAAGTTAGCCTAGATATCATAGTATAGATGAATCAAAGCATAAAAGTGGCTTCGCTTATCCTGGAGGCAAGATGTACTCTCCTCTCTGATCCGCTCCGGACTTTTTAATACTCATAAACAGACAACGTACGTTTGTACTGCAATATAAATCCAACTTACTGCGAGCAAAGCGAAAGTAAGTCCACAAAAATGAATGAAAACGCCGAAATGCAGCCGCGCCACTCCTGTCAAAAGTACTGCGTATTTCCAAAGTCCAGATCCCTGCGACTAGATTAATATGCTGTATGGAGCAGCAGCTTTAAAGAGTCTCATTATGGAAGTACTACGCCCTTTTGCTGCGTGGCTACGTCAGGCGCGCCCCTCTGACAGCGACAGACCCAGAGCGCACACTGTGCGTAAAAGCGCAGGAAAACCACAGGGTACTTAGTCATACAAACTCAACCAGAGCTATGTTTGGTTCTCATGGATACCAGCGTGGTTGAGAAAAAAAATACAATTGTGCTAGTAGGTTTGTAAGCTATGTGTTAAGCAGTGGCTGGATCATGTTGGTTAATCATAATGGTAAAATAAAATAAAATAAAAATTTGTTTAATTTGTTTAGTTTGACTTTGAAGTTTGAACTCTGGATTGTTTCTAAGGCAATAGAGCAGGCAGTAAAGGAATATTGATATCCAGTGACAGTACTGCATATAATGTTTTCATTTGTGTCTGTTCAAATAAACAAGCACAAATAGTTGGAGGGGCTTTTTTTCTTGGCTCATTTGGAAATTGCGCGATGTTCATTTTCTTTGGTGGTTGCTATGGGAATGAGCCATACAAACTTGTTAAATGGTAACTCTCAGTTCTCTCTGATACCGTCTGTGTGAAAATGAGTCTGGCCATTAGCTGGCCTTTGGGAGGCCTCCAGGAATTTGCAGAATTCCTCTACAAGAGATTCCCCTCCCTTCCTCTCTCCCTCTCATCAGTCATCAAATGGGAAGTCAATAAAAAAAGAGGGAGGGCTGAAAGAGTGTTGAGTGTTCCTCCTGATATGAGAGATAGTTCAGAGTGTTCAGATAATCAGGGAATAGCAATGGACAACGGTGAATAATTTTAAATCTTCATCGTTTATTTATTTATTTATTATTAATTGATGATTTTGGATTAAAAAATAATGTAACTAATATATAATATATAGTTGTTGCTTCCACTGCTTTGTCTGTTTTTGATGACATGATCTGTGGCTTCTACTTCACAGTCTTATCAGGGGTCAATTGTGTTGTCTGAAGCTCTTTGTGACGTTGATTACATTCATACGCTGTCACTACCTCTGCTGGTTTTCATACTTTTTTACTAGACTTTACATGCTATTTTAATAGTCGACATGCAGTGGAAAACATTTAGTGTCCTTGAGGGGTTTATATACCCTATATAGCTACATAGCAAATATAAAGAGATAAAACACATGGATTTGAAGTGATGGATTTGAGGTTTATTAACCAGTAAGTTCAGGTCATGGAATATGAGGATGGGAACTGAACTGATCCAAATGCTACATCGTTGAATATCTGTGAGAGTCCACACTTTTTTTTTTTTTAAACCAGCCGTGTGACAGTGGCTTGTTGTTCTTGCTTATCACCCATTGACTCAAGCAAGGAGCAATAATCCCTGTGGTACTATGGAATGTTCTGGTGTTCCAGTTACACAAACTAGAGATAACATGGGGAATGCAAGCTTGACGTGTGTAAATTGGGCCTTGTGTCCTCCATTATATTTGACTTTCCTTTGCTCAGTCAGAGAGGAGAGCTGTGACTGTAACTGTACTGTTCAACACTTTCAAGGCATTTATGAATCTGGTCATTGTGGTGCGGTCCTTGGCACTGCATCTATAAAAAAATATATGCACTTTCGGTAAATGAATAAATAAATTATTTATTGAAATTTACTGCAAGCCGCAACAATATTAGATATGGACTGCCTAACTTCCCCAGATTTGTTATTTCTATATATTGCATTTCTTAACATTCTTCATCAGTTAAAGTTTATTTTACTTTACTTTACTTTACTTTACTTTACTTTACTTTACTTTACTTTACTTTACTTTACTTTACTTTACTTTACTTTACTTTACTTTACTTTACTTTACTTTACTTTACTTTACTTTACTTTACTTTACTTTACTTTACTTTACTTTACTTTACTTTACTTTACTGCAGTGTGTTAAACATAAAACTAAATGCATAGAAATGGTTAAATGTTATTGAATTAGTAATGACATCCCACTTATTTCATTTAATGGCCTCCTTTCTGTTTGTTTGCCCGACCTTCCCAAGTATCTGCAATATTAGAGCAGACACACTTTGGAGATGTACTTCCATTATGTGAGCAATACTGCATTCATTAAAAATGCTGAGTTATACTGGCAGCCACCCATAAAGGACATTTTCTTTGAAAAGTTTCAGTCACTAAAAATATAGGATTTGCACTGATATATGCCATAAGTGCATCATTATGTAATATCCTTATAGAAGAGCGTTATCAACTGTATGCAGGGACAGGTACTGGATCTTTGAGTAGCTAGTTTTTCCCAGGTATCATGGCAGTCCCATATATGCCAATGTTTGCAGAAGTCTTGAGTAGAGATTAGAAATATGGGATCCATGCCAATAGTGTTAAAGTGGTGAATTCACACACACACACACACACACACACACACACACACACAGAAACCCAGACACCACCTGACCAGGCTCTAATGTTACACTCTACAGCCATTAAGAGTGTGTGATTTATATTTGTGAGTTACTGAGACACAAGGCCAGACCTAAGTGCAGGGGTGTGTGTTTTGGGGTGGGTACGTGGGTTAAGTGTTTGTGTGTGCCCACATTTTAAAAGATTTATCCAGGATTTATCAGACTTGTTTGGGTTTGTAATGTGGTTTTGACTCCTTGACTCTAAATCCCTGGAAACAGAAGACCAACAACAGCATGTGTACATGATAAGTGCTTGATTGTCTGTATATATGCCTAATATACAAACTCAAGGACTTTTTCACTGATAGGAACAAATTTATTATTATTGTTTAGAGACAAGCTTCATGCCCTGGAACAGCTCATGCTGAAAAAGAAAGACCTTTCACGCATTGCAAAGGAAATAGAGCAAAAAATAAACCATGAGAGGTCATGTGTTACAATGATTTTTACTCTGGTTAACGGGAGTTTTTACACTCTCAAAAAAGGTACAAAAGCTGTCACTGGGGTGGTACCTTTTTCAGAAAGTACACTTTTGTACCTTTTAGGTACTAATATGTACACTTTAGGTACTGATATGTGCCTTCAAGGTACCAAAATGGACGATTAGGTACAAAGGCGTACCTTTCGAAAAGGTACCACCCCAGTGACAGCTTTTGAACTTTTTTTTTCTGAGAGTGCAAGACATTTTAAAATGATTACGGTGTGAGACCTAAGCCATATAGACAATTTTGCCAGTAAAAAAAAAATCTCTCCGAATACCCTAGCAAATGCATATGTCCTGCAACCACCCACATCACTCTAACATCAGAACAGTGACTTTTTCTTCAGAAAATCAGAAAATCTATTAAAATACATAAAAATTGCCAAGTAATATTGTTTTTTTTTTTTTTTAGTTAACTGGCTGTTTTGGTTGCCAAATAGCAATAAATTAATGGCACATTAAAGGGGTCATATGAAGTTGCTAAATAGAACATTATTTTGTTTATTTGGTGTAATGAAATGTGTTCATGCAGTTTAAGTTTCAAAAACATTATTTTCCACATACTGTACATTATTGTTTCTCCTCTATGCCCCGCCTTTCTGGTCTTTGCAACTTTACAGATCTTCTTTATGCACCAAGAGCTTGTAACACTCCAAAGAGAAAGGAAAAATTTAAACCGCATCATATGACCCTTTTAATATAAAATTAAGTTAATGTTCGGTCTCAGGGTTGTCTTTCTTTTCCTTTTTATGAATAAACTCAAATTCTAATTCTACAGTTCTGTTTGCTATGAACTTTTATAAAAAAAGCAGTCTTTAGAGGCATTGTTTTGTTTAGTATTGTTTGTTTGGTGGGTAGTATTGGTTTGGATATTGTTCTGAATGCATTATCCTATGCGTGAAACTTGTGATAATTAATTTAATTTAAATTTTATATTGCCTTTTTAAGAACTGGTCAGGGACAAAGATGAAAATTGGGGACTCTGTTGATTAATGAATGCTTTCCATGTCAGATAAAATTAAATAAAGCTATTTCTAATAATATTTATATCACAAATGCATCAGAATTATACTTTTATTAATGAAAATGATAACTATATTTTAATTTAATCATGAAATTGGGAGGGAAAAGACCAATTTGCTTTAGAGTTTTTACATTAATTAAAGTACCCTTAATGACCTTTTGTTTTAATGACATTTGTTTAGGAGAAATATTTTTGATTTAACAATAAAAATAAAAAAAAATGAAAAAACAAATTCCTCAGTAATCCTAATAACTGGTAGAACCCTTCTTTTCCCAAGAATCCGTGTTTTTCTCTCTTGCTCCATTTAGAGACTTCAACCAAACACCCGTTATAGATTTTACCAAAAACAAGCATTTCGTAAGAAGTCCACCCACAGTGTATTCCTAACCTGCAGGGAAAACAAAACTGTTAAATGACAGGGTTACCACAGAACGCCTATCTGTTGTGATGCCTTCAGAGGGACGCATTTGTCAGTTGAGGGGCTTGTTATCACAATAAAATACCAGGAAACTCATCAGGGTTATCAACTTTACACCCTGAGCAAATGTTGTTATAGAATGAGTCAGACTTTAGAAGTTCTACCAGAAAATGTCATCTTATTCCACTACGAAGAACCTTTTGTGGAATGGAAAGGTTCCATGGATGTTAAAGGTTCTTCATGAAACCATCAATGCCAATAATGAACCTTATAAAGAAGGCAGTTAAAAAACAGAAAAAACTGTATGTGGGAATAAAAACAACCGACCCCTTTTATGACTCGAGGGGTGAGAGTAAATAAAGCTCTTTCAAGGACTGCACAGATGTTTGGTTACTATTCTACTCATTCAGACCTGTCATCATGTTTTCATTATGAGCACTGAGCTCACACATACAGCACCTAGATGGTGCAAATATGACACACACACACACCCAATGCAAGCTTTATAGACTTATATTCATGTATTTGTTGATCTGGTCTCTCAATCGCACTTCCCCTAGTTCCCATTCTGATGTTGTGTGTCACACTTCCTGTGGTTTCCCTGGAGACGAAGCCATAAATAAACACCAGCAGATAGTATAA